TAACATCGGTTGACATTTTGGTATAGCCCTCATATAAGGGTAATCCGAATTTTCCTAATTTTGGAGATTTTGAAGAGGGGTTTTCACCGAATTGGCTAAAATTGGATATTTTGGGTTCTCATTGGGTCTAATATCTTCCCATCAAAAATTATCAATATCGGTCGAAGATTTATGATAGTCCCCATATAACGATGCCTTCCGATTTTCGATTTTTAAGGATTTTGGCTAAGTTTTTGCATCGAATTTGGGTTCAAATATGATATTTTGGGTTCTCCTTAGGTCTACTATCTTCCCACATTTGACATTTTGGTATAGCCCTCATATAAGGGTAACCCGAATTTTCCTAATTTTGGAGATTTTGAAGAGGGTTTTTCAACCGAATTGGCTAAAATTGGATATTTTGGGTTCTCATTGGGTCTATTATCTTCCCATTAAATATTATTAATATCGGTCAAAGTTTTAGAATAGCCCCCATATAACGATACCTTCAGATTTTCGATAGATGTTTTTATAAAATACTTTTTTAACACCTCCTCGGGGATTTTCGTTAATTTTTTTCAGTTTCCATAGGACTTTAAAAAAATATATTTTTTTCAACCACTTGAGTACCACACATTTTTGCCTAGAATTGCTGGCAAAAACAGAGGTGAATAACCTTCAATCTCCCCCTTCTCCCACTCAGAAAATTTTCAAAAATTCTCAAATTTCATTAAAATTTTATTTCGTTATGTTTTCTTAAAATCGATGAATATTTACATATCAATCAATGTAAACAACACTTGATAAAATATATTACAACAAATACAGCAATACAACAACATAAACACATAACTGGTGTTTCCTGTTCACGTTGTTGTTGGAACTGCTGCTGCTGCTGTCACTGGCAAAGACCTGAAGACCTATTTACACAGCTGGCGGTATTCAGTCAAGTGTTGTTATCATTTTGGGAGAAAAAATAGAGGGAAGTGGAGATGGTGGAGGGTGGGGAATGGGGAAGGGGAAATATTATACAATAAAATTCAATTTGAAGTCAATGAATCGAAATCAATTAATTTAAAATAAATGTAAAATATTTTGAAATAAACCTCAAGTCGAACGATTTTGAAAAAAAAAATTTTAACGTGGATTTTTTTTATGGGAAATTTGCCTAAAGTCACCCTATAAATTTTCAGAAAATCGGAAAAATTTCCATATTCGAAACAATTTTTGCCTATATGGTTCACATATTCTGAAAGTACACTCTTAGACCTTTCGTTTAAGCAAGAGAAAAAGTTGAGCGGTTTTTGTTCGGATTTGGTGCAAAGAATCTTGGGGTCTTAACCCCATATTTCGCTGAGAGTCATATTTTGCCAAGGATGGGACTTTTTAACAGAAAAATAATTCCAGAGAGGGAACTCTTCAAAAATTTTCGGAAAAGCTTTTCTAAGGGTTAGTAAAACTCTTGGGGTTCTTTAAAGACTAGAAGAACAGCGAGAAGGCCATCAAGACATGGAGGGTCTCTGAAGTCGAGTCAACGAAGCCATACGAGAGCTCTAAGAAAGTTCTCTGTTGCAGAAGACCGCCTGAAGGGTCCTCCAAGATCCACAAACATGCAAAAGATCTTTGGAGAGGTCATCGTAGTTCTGGAGGGCCTCTTAAGTTCATCGAAGACTTTTAAAGTTGTCCTTTGAATTCTGGTGACAACCGAAAGGTCCTCTAAGATCAAGACCGTCTGAAGAGTCCTCTTAAGATCCAGAAACATGCAGAAGATCTTCGGAGAGGTCATCGTAGTTCTGGAGGGTCTCTGGAGTTCATCGAAGTCTCTTAGAAAGTTATTTAATATATAGAAGACTTTTAATGTTGTGCTTTGAGTTCCAAGTGACCACCGAAAGGTCATCTAAGATCCAGAAAGCCTAAAAGATCTTGAAAAAGATCATACAATGTTTAGGATACCTCATTCGTATGTTTCTCGAAGGCCTAAAAGACCTTAGATATGGATTCCTAAGACCCAAAAGACCAATGAGAAGGTCCTAAAATGAGGTCTGATAAGCATCTGAGGTATATAACACACCCTTGGAGAGGAGTATACGAGAAAATTCTCTAAGGCATATAAGGCCTTCGTTAAGCCCTCTAAGGAAAAAGCGAGAGAGAGAGAACTTCTAAAAGGGTTCTATAGGGCATATAGAGCGAAGATCCCCGTAAGGTCAGACATAGAAACTAAAAAACAAATATATATTTTTCTAAGGCCACTAAAGAAGAAAATCCCACAAACAAAAAATTAATATTTTTCTAAGTCCACCAGAGTAGACTTTTTATGCCCTCCACCATAGTATGGAGGGTATATTAATTTTGTCATTCCGTTTGTAACTCATCGAAATTTTCATTTCCAACCCTATAAACTGCAGCAAAAGCTAAACTTGGGTACCAAAGACCACCATCAAGAAATCCGTGGTACGATCAGGAGTGTCGTAATGCTACTGATATGAAAAACGCAGCGTATAGGGCAACCCTGCGAACAGTAGCAACACGTTTTGTGATGGAGAACTATCATGAGAAAAGGAGAGAGTAGAAACGTATATTCAGAAAAAAGAAGAAAGAACAAGAAAAACGTGAGCGTGAACAAATCGAGATGTACCGGAGTCAGAATGAAGTCCGAAAATTCTACCAACGGGTAAAACACCAAACCGAAGCCTTTGGTGCAGGCACATCTCTACAGGAGATAATGAAGGAAATCTGGTGACAGATACAGACAGCGTGCTGAGGATCTGGTAGGAACACTTTGAAAAACTTCGGTAGATGACGGTATAGAGTGTATGCCACCTAGCCAAGATGAAGTCAGAATAGCAATCAATCGGCTGAAGAATAATCATGCAGCAGTTGCCGAGGGGTTACAAGCCGAACTATTCAAGACTGGTGGACAGATGCTGGTAAGGAGCATGCAGCAGCTGATTAGTACAATTTGGCTAGAGGAATGCATGCCCAATGATTGGAACCTCAGCATCCTGTGTCCCGTGCACAAAAAAGGAGACAAGACGATGTGTGTAACTATAGAGGAATAAGTTTCCTTCCCATCGCATATAAACTGCCATCCAGCGTTGGCTTCAGACCTGACAAATCAAGCATTGACCAGATTTTAACTCTGCGCCAAATCCTGGAAAAACCCACGAAAAACACATCGACACATTTCACCTATTCGTCGACTATAAAGCCGCATTCGGCTCGAGCTCTATCCGTTCATAGGTGTCTAAAGTCACGTCTGCGTTGGGCATTCCTGCAAAATTAATTCGGCTATGCAGGATAACATTAACAGGCACAAGATCAGCAGTTTAAGTCGGAAAGGACCTCTCGGAGCCTTTCAAATACCGAACGAGGATTCAGACAAGGTGATAGTTTGTCGTGTGACCTTTTTAACATCCTGCTAGAAAAGGTCATACAAGATGCAAATGTGAACAGAAATGACACTCTGTACACCAAACAACACATGTTACTCGCCTACGCCGATGACATCGACATGATGGGTCGAACATTGAGAGCGGTAACAGCCACCTTTGAACAAATTGAGAAGTAGTCTGCCAAAGTGGGTCTGGCAGTAAACGGTGGTATCAAGCTGGTGGTATCAAGACGTCCAGTAGACTCGGACCAACTATGGAACTTGAGAACTACAGCTTCGAAGTAGTCAAAGATTGTATATAACTTGGTACCGCCATAAATAAAACTAATGACGTTAGTTTTGACCGATGCTACTGTGGTCTGAGCAAACAACTCAAAAGCAAGGCCACCTCCCACCAGGCTAAACTCACACTCTACAAGACGCTGATACTACCTGTGATGTTATATGGATCTGAAACATGGGTACTTGCGTAAGCAGATGAGGCAGCTCTTGGTGTGTTTTAGAAAAAAAAATCTCCGAAAGATCTATAGGCTGATCTGCGTTGATGGTGAATATCGATCGCCGTCGAATGAACCATGAGTTGTACCAGCTATTCCCGGACATCGGCATTGTTAGACGTATTGAGCTGCAGCGACTACGTTGGCTACGTCATGTTGCAAGAATGGATGATGAAGATGCCCCAGCCCAGTAGGCATATAAAAGCGAACCAGCTGATGGTTCACACAGAAGGGGAAGGCCACGAATTAGATGTAAAGATCAAGTCGAAGACAACATCGCCCAAAAAGGGTCTTTCAAATTGGAAAAAATGCGCAAAAGACCGACACGCCTAGAAATCTTTTTTAAGCTCGTCCTATGGAACGAAAGCTCTGTCAAAAGCCAGCTAAGTAAGGAAGTAATTCAGTTATTTATTAATTCTGTATAGGAAATATGTTGCTACAGTCTCTTAAATGTATTTTAAAGGAAGATCACGAATTCGCACAACTCTTCAGCACGGCGTACATTAATCAACTCCCTCCATACAAGTAGTAGCTTTGCCAGATCTCCACAATACCTGTTTGTGGCTCGTGGCTAAATCGATGCGATGCCCCCTTACTCAATTTTCATCAGAGTAAAAATTTTTAATGTAGACCCTTGACGGTAGGGGATTCTCAACACTGTCACTGTCGAATAGTTTCTTGTATTGCCACTAGGGGACCTTCTGATCGTTACGTTTAAACTTTGAATACATTTTAATGAACATTAAAAATTTGAGGTCAAAAAAATAATTTTTTTCCAGTGCCATCAATTTTTTTTCTAAAACTGTCAGCGATAGTTAAAAAAAATATTTTTTTAAAACCAACAGAGAGGGGTGTTTAAAAAATATTCGTTTTCAATAATTATCAGAGATGGGACTTTTTAAAAGAATTTTTTCCAAGGCCGTCATAGATGGGACTAATTAAAAATAATTTTTCAGAACGACCAAAGATGGGACTTTTGTAAAAAAAAATATTATTTCGAAGACCACCAGAGATGGGATTTGTTAAAGCAATATTTTATTCTCAAGGATCACCAGAGAAGGGATTTTTTTATTGAAGATTTCTTCAATAATATTTTACTTCAAAACAAATAAAAATAATTTTGATATACTCACATCCTTATCATCATATATCATTAGAGCGGTTGTTGATGGCGTTTTCCCGTTCATGATGATGGTTGGTCAGGTTTATTTGGTTCACCGTTATTTATTTAAAACTTAACTTAGATTAAATATTTAAAAGTAAAAATGTTGATAAAAAACTAAGAACTGTCACTATCTGCATTCGAAACACAAGAAAAAAAACATAGATTATTCACCAAAATATTTTGAAACGTAACATAATATTGACTTAAAAGCGGTACGATAAACGTTATTATGACGTAGTTTATGTAGATCGGAACACTTGTATATTTTGTAGACACGGCGACGGCCAGGTGATAATTGTTATCAAAAAAAAATGGAGCAAATTTTTCATTCGCGATACTGGGTCAAACCCTCACCGTCCACTATCCAAGAAAGCGTAAACGTAAACTTTTTAGTTCAGTGGTTTTCCAGGTTTTGTCATTTGCTTATCGATTTTGAATGGAATGGCAACGCCAACGGCAGCACATTTTTTACGTCACGTTACATTACGAGTGTTCGGCCGATAAGCCGCATTCCATCAGCCCATCATTGTCTCGTATCACTTAAAAGCCGATGACAGCTATTAGATGATGGTGGGGGACTGGCTACGCGATTTTGATTGCAACGGCTTTTGTTTGCCTTATTGAATGATTGGCCGACTAATCAACCGAACAACAATTCAGTCGTGTTCAATTGTGTTTGAAATATTAAATTAGTAAAATTATTTATTTTTTTCTATAAATTATAATTTTCCCGATTTCCGATACTCTTCTGCTTCCTCCCAAATGCAAGCTTATTGGTCTTGCCATTCAAAACTGTCACGCAAACATTATCATCATCCGATCTCTTTGAAATTTCTCTTTATTGAAATTTTATTTCGTACTTAAATTGTGGGGAATTATATGGCCCCATCGATAATTTGTTTGATATTTATAACAAAAAATTATTTTTTATTATAATTTATTGTGTTATTGTTATTGTGGTTAATTCTATTTAAAAAAAAATGATTTATCAATTTAAATTTAAAAAAAATATTGTGTATTGGCCGCTTCGATTTTTTGCACGAAAGAATTGCCAAAATTAGACCAACAATGTTTACCAAAGACGTCAGTCAGTCCTTAAAACCCTTTCACTTGAAATTTTTAAAATAAACTTCCAACCCAATCGCACTCCAGCATCTATTAATAATGCCATATTAAATTAATTAATAATTAAATGCATTTTCATGCAAAAAATATCATGTTTTATTTAGATTTCTTCAAAAAAACCACAACAATTTAACCAGCAGCTGTTATTGCCTGCCAAAACCATTCACTTGTGTTCCCTTTCTCTCTCTTACACACAAACTCACTCTCTATAATACTGTTTTGTTCCTGTAATGACGTCATTCATCATCACAGCAAATCTCTGCTAAGAACATGCATGCATGCTCTGCCGCTGCTAACCGGTACATAACAGAGAAACAAACATGTTCAAATAAACAAAGCAACAACAACAACGACGTCGCCAATAAAGGACTATCTCTCCCTCGCACACAAATTAAGGGAATTTCATTTGTGTTCTCTTCTAATGTTCTCCCACTGTGTCTCGCACACACTCAGGCAGGCATGCACTCAATGTTTACCAAAGACGTCAGTCAGTCCTTAAAACCGGGCCCTTTCACTTTAAATATTTAAAATAAACTCCCAACCCAATCACACTCCAGCATCTATTAATAATGTCATGTTTAATCAATTAATAATTAAATGCATGCATTTTCATGCAAAAAATATCATGTTTTATTTAGATTTCTTTAAAAAAAACCACGACAATTTAACCAGCAGCTGTAACTGCCATTGCTACCATTCACTTGCGTTCCCTTTCTCTCTCTCACACACACATTCAATCTCTATAATACTATTTTGTTCCTGTAATGACGTAATTCATCATCACACCAAATCTCTGCTAAGACCAAAGACGCCAGTCAGGCCTTCAAACTGGCACTTTCACTTGAAATTTTTAAAAGAAACTTCTAATCTATTAATAATTCCATATTAAATTTATTAATGATTAAATGCATGCATTTTCATGCAAAATCCCGATGTTTTTATTTAGATTTCTTAAAAAACCACAACAATTTAACCAGCAGCTGTTACTGCCTGCCAAAACCATTCACTTGCATTCCCATTCCCTCTCTTACACACACTCACTCACTATAATAGTGTTTTGTTCCTGTAATGACGTCATTGGTCATAAAACAAATCTCTGCTAAGAACATGCATGCATGCTCTGCCTCTGCTAACCGGCACTTAACAGAGAAACAAAAAATTGCAAAGTGTGGTTTTATATTTGTCGGGATGGGGATCGGTGTTGAGAGTTTCTCTCTCTCTCAGTGGTAAATTGTGAATTGTGTTGGAAAACATTACCACAGGTAGGAACAAAAAAGTACGAAAAGGTACCTAAAATTCTACTTCAAATGATAATAAATTATAATTATGGAGAAATATTGGCCAATATTTATACCAGTTAGTTGCATAAATAACATATGATATAATTTAAGCGTAAATGTATTCACGAATAATAAAAAAATTAAATTTTTGTTTTGGTACGTTTATGTCAATTCGTACCTTTTGTGAACAAAAAGTACGTCTGCTACAAAATTAAAAATAGCGCAACTCTAATTACTCTCTCAAGAGAGAGAAACTCTCAACACCGATCCCGATCCCGACAAATATAAAACCACGCAAATAAACAAGAATTCTTGTTCTTCACTGCCGCCTTCGTCATTGTTCGTTCACCAACAATGCGACAGCGAAGGGCTCGTTCTCTCTCTCGCACACATTATGGAGATTTCATATGTGTTCTCTTCTAATGTTCTCCCTCTGCACTCAGCCAGGCATACACCTAATCAAGCAAAGTAAACGATTACTGTATTCAATGCAGTGTATTACAAGGCAACAACAACAAAAACACGAAATAAAAGAAAAACAACAACTATTCATGCTGTGAGAGAACGATCACACAGGGTTGCCTTCATGTGTGTTTTTAAAGCAAAAACATGGAAAGAGACAATAGTGGAATATTTTGGTGAATATTTAGAAATGGGTAAAAACAATTATAATCAGGCAACTGCTAAAATTTAGCAAAAATTACCACTAAATATTTGTTTTGTAGTTTTAAAGAGGGTATATTTATTTTTTTTATTATGATATTAAAACTTCCATAAAGGCCGATTTTTTTAAAAATATTTTTAAAGACCAAACGAACCATGCAAAAATCCAGGAAAAACCCACAAAAAACCTATCCGTAAATTAATTCGGCTATGCGGGAATACTTTAAATGGCACAAGATCAGCAGTTAAAGTCGGAAAGGATCTATCGGAGCCCTTTAATACCGAACGAGAATTCAATCAAGGTGACAGTTTGTCGTGTGACCTTTTTAACATCCTGCTGGGAAAGGTCATACGAGAGGCAAAGGTAAACAGAAATGGTACTCTGTACACCAAACAACACATGTTACTCGCCTACGCCGATGACATTGACATAATGGGTCGAACATTGAGAGCTGTGACAGCCACCATTGAACAAATTGAGAAGGAGTCTGCCAAAGTGGGTCTGGCAGTAAAACGACGAGAAGACCAAGCTGATGGTATCAACGCGCAAGACGTCCAGTAGACTCGGACCAACTGTAGAACATGAGAACCACAGCTTCGAGGTAGTCAAAGATTTTATATACCTTGGTACCGCCGCCATAAATAAAACTAATGACATCAGTTTTGAAATTCGAAGAAGGATAGTGTTGGCCAACAGATGTTACTATGGTCTGAGTAAGCAACTCAATAGCAAGGCCACCTCCCGGCAGACCAAACACACACTCTACAAGACGCTAATACTTCCCGTGCTGTTACAGTATTTTTCGGTTAATTGAACCTACGGTTAATTGGTTTCCACGCTTAATTGAACCACATGATGGGTCAAAAATATTTCATTTCATAGTAAGCGAGTTCGGATAATTGGTTCCTCGGTTAATTGAACAAAAATTTGTGCAAATTTTGATGTGCAATTAACCGAAAAATACTGTATATGGATCTGAAGCATGGGTACTTACGCAAGCAGATGAGGCAGCTCTTGGAGTGTTTGGAAGAAAAATTCTTGTAAAGATCAATGGGCCGATCTGCGTTGACGGACGGAATATTAGACTAACATAACTATCTTAGAATGTCGGAGCAGCAAAGTGAGCACGGATATAGTCAAGCCCACGACAATAAAGAAGCATCTATATGGAGGCACATAAGCTAAAATTCCATCGGATTAAACAAGCCTTCCATCCACTTCCTCGCAAAATGCGAAAAATATTTAGGATCCTAGAAGAGCAGACAAATGACAAACCTGTTAAGCTTTTACAAAGCGAAAGCTACGCCAACCCTAAGTCATACAGGACTGCTACGAGAATCCATCCGGTTACAAGCACTGTGCATCAGAAAGAGGAGATGGCAGCAACAACCGCTGTGATTGGCCCAAATTTCGTCGGGTAACTGAAAACAAAAACTTGCTGGATGCGGAAAAAAAAGTAGGCCATGGCTCATCCTGCTGCATGCAGGGTACCTTATCGATCTGGACTGTTGCTACTTTAGCGTGGACTATTTTTATGCCACTATTTGATACCTCGAAAATCATAAAAGCGCTGAGAATGCCTATGTGTACAATCAAACCAGGAGGAGTGAGTTTGTGAGTTTCACCCTCTAGCCAGCTGGAGTCGTTAAAATTCATCAAATTCTGTCGGTGAGCCGGAGCTTCAGAGGCAGACAAGAAGTCACGAGTGGGAGCTTCAAAGAAAGAATTTCTATGAATTAGGAAACACCTGAAGGTTAAGAGGTTTCGAGGTTGCGCTCGTCTTCTTGATACTACAGCAAACGTTACAGCCATCGGGCGTTGGATTTTAGTAGCAGACCCCAGATTTAGAATTGGTACTGGTTTTTTTTTTGTATCTAGTCTGCATAGATTGCCTATTGTAATTTACATATTGCCTTAGTGACTATTAAAAGGCATGGGAATATATAA